GAGAGAGAGAGAGAGAGAGAGAGAGAGAGAGAGAGAGAGAGAGAGAGAGAGAGAGAGAGGGAGCGATCGAGAAAGAAAGAGAGAGAGGAGAAAGTAAAACCCAGAGAATACAATAGGGAATCATCCAGTGGTATAAAACTGATCACTCATCATTCTCCATTCATTAACCGAGAAGCAAGAAACTTTGATTTTCCCTCCGATCAACCCGACTACTCCTCATTGCTACACTGCTGTTCTCTCACGACTTTCGATCCCTATTCCCCATTCTGCGCTTGCAAGACACCTCTCCAAATCCATCGTCGAAGAAGGTCACCCACATAGTGGCAAACATAGTCAACAAGCGGCAATCCGTAAAGCACGTTCTTATTCAGGGCGCGACTCTCGTAATCACACAATTTTCACTACCAAAGCACCTCATGCACCCATTCACAACCTCATCTCGTAATCACAAAGAACCATGGTAAGGACTGAGCCCAGGTCAATCATAGTTAAATCCTACTCCTCACTGAGAGTTTCAAATGTCATCCACTGCACTCAGTATGTTCGTACCCCGAAGTATGCCTCCCCTAGCTCCCATGCCTAATACTATGTCTACGGGGTTGAATACGAAACAAAAAATACATACAGATAGACCAACGAAGACAAAGAAGAAGGAAAAAAGAAGGAAAGAGGATAAAAAAGAAAAGAAAATCCCTGGTTCCCTCATGATTGTACATCTGCTACCCGAAAGTATACACATTGCTCACGCGACTTCTCAACAGCACGCACAACCCAGGTCTTCTGCCCAAAGAAACTTTCGTGGATGAGGGGGACTCCTCATTCACATCTATATCATCGCGAGTCTCCCACCGTCCTTCATCCCACCCTCCTCATTCTGACTTCATCCATCCATCCTTCCACTCCCTCAATCACCCTTGTCATGCCCCTCGCTGATTTCCATCATGTGTGGCCCGTAATCCATCCATAACGAAACTCGTGGTGATCGGCTCTTCAAGTCTCCCCGCTCGCCCGTATGCTCTAGAAACACCCCACAAGTCATCCATCCAGAAAAGCAGCCCCAGGGGAATGACAAGGGAGACCCATTCCAATGATTGGGTGGGGATACATGTGAATATTCAAAACAAGCAGCCATGGGATGACTCACAGCAGAAGGGCTTCAACACTGAGGAAGAAGACAAACACCACGAAAGGTAAGTGCATTTAAGTACGTATATACATACATGCATAGTATCATGCAAGGTGGATTACTGATCATACATAATTATGGTTCTTAATTACGCATAGTTATCATTCACCATTTTACCACAGAAAGGGTAGGCGATTGATTATAGCAACGCATACGRCTGAGGTAGTGGCAAGCTCCCTAAAACGTTTTTTGCTAGCCTTGCCACGGGCTAGCTCATCAGAGGATTCCTAAATAGGAACAACACTAAATGCACTGCCAATACTCATGCGTAAGAACCAGCAATACAGGAATAAAAGTGTGACGGAAGGAAGTAGGACAGACTGAAGGTCGGATTACTCGAGGAAATTAAGAGAGCAAGGGAGAGGAGGAGAGAGAGAGAGAGAGTGTGTTACATACTTCAATGAGTATGGGCAGAACCAAAGATCAACCAATGTAGGATGAGCATATATGCAGCGGAAGTCTGATAAACGGACTGACTCACATAGA